CGCGGTGTCTCCGAGCTTCGAGAAGCACTAGGCCTCGGACCCAACGACATCATGAAGATCCTGAAAAAACATCTACGGCAGCACCGCAGCACCTCGTGGGCTATGGCTAGACCTACATCGTCGCCTCTCGTCCATCGGCGGCAAACCACTTGTGGGAGAAAGGTGTATTTGGATCTGGCAGTCTAAAGTTGACAAAGACGAGCGCAACGTCTTTCGCACTTTGGGCATGATGGGCGGTCACGTAGATGACTTTCATCGCTGTGGTGACCGCAACTCCGATGAGTGACTGGAAATTTGTCGACTCATCGACAACCTCCATGAGTGGGGTACTGCGAAGCGTGGCAACTACAGGCACGCTGGTACCGACCTCACCACAACAATAGATGGTCAAGGGCGAGTCGAAGTTCAGGTAAACCAAGACCACTACATCGAGACGCTCATCGATGTGCGCATCGCTCCTGATCGTCTTCGTCAAGAACAGGCGCAACTCACCGCAGAAGAAATAGCCGCATGTCGCGCCACCTGAGGGCAGTCTGCAATGGCTAGCGCTACAGACACAACCACGGCTATGTGCCCGATGCAACCTCATCGCCTCGGAGATCACCACCAAGCGCAACATGCAAGTTGCTCGTGAACTGCAACAAATGATTGGTGAAGTCCGCAAGCAGTACTACTCGCTGCGATTCAGGAAACCAGATGGCGTCAGCTCCTGGAGAGACCTGGTTTTCATCACCTTCTGCGACCAGGCACACGCCAATCGTGAGAACCTTGACTCCACTGGGGGGCTGTTGTCCACCGCATCTGGACCACAAGCCGTCGAGGGCAAGGTCGCCTTCATGGCGCCACTCTGCTGGCGCAGCTGGAAGTTGAGAAGGAAAGCCATCAGCTCCAATGATGCTGAAGTTCAAGCAGTTCTGGAAGGCGAGGATCAAAACTTTCGGATCCGCGTCTTGTGGAGCGAGATGAATGGAGCAGGTCAAGATCTTCGTCCTGAAGAAGATCGAGTAGCATGGGCCGAAAGGCTCTCGCGCAATGTCAAGGGCATCCTGGCTACAGATTGCAAGGGCGGCTTTGACGCCGTGATGTACAATGAGTCTCCGATGCTGGGCCTCAGCAACGCCAGGTCCGCTCTTCAAGCTCTGCAGTTGAGAGAGTCATTGCACAGGACTCTCGCCGAGTTACGCTGGGTTGCCAGCGACTATGACCTGGGCGATGCCTTCACCAAGAAGAAGCAAGACTGCCGGTTAGGACTTCGGAAGTACCTCTCCACTGGTCTTTGGGCAATCGCCTACGACAAGAGCTTTACGTCAGCCCGTCGGAGTCATGAACAAGGCCGGTCTGCTGTGAAGACCATCGAGGACTTTGAGAGCGGTCATCAACTGAAGGGAGTTTTGTATCCGTGCAATTCTGCAAGGTCAGTTGATGACCACAGTCATGAACACATGTATGCGTGGCCACTTGACACCTGGCCCTTTGAGCAGTTCCACAATGCATGGGACCTGTGATGTATCGGCTCCGGAGGGGCCCCTTTTGCCAAGGCAGTAGAGTGCTCAGCGAGCATGGCATTCCGGTGGTAAGGACCACCTCACTTGTGTGCGCCTGTTCAAAAGTGAACATCAGCTGCAGTGCGATTGGATCTTGGGTGCATCGCAGATTCACCATTTTGGTGGCCCCCCTATTGTGGCGCTAGTTTGGGGAGGTGGAGAAGGGTGAATGCCAAGCCCCCCCCCATTTTTTAAAATTTTCCCATGTGCTTTCGAAAAGTTCCCGCAACGAATCTCTGATTTCGCCATGTCGGGTTCGCGGAAGTTTTGCCCAGGAGCCCATCAGGAGACGACAGCAGGGAGTACGGCCAACCTCTCAGATGAAATGTGGTTGGAGATATGGCAGGGCTAGTCGCTAGTCCAGGGCCCCCTTCACCCTTGCAGGGGTAGTCCGGGGCCGACTTTTTTGGTTGTTGAAGGGACGCCAAAAGGAAACCAACGCCCCGAATTTTTTGTGCGCCCATCCAACTCTTCAGCTTCCGAGGCTTCTTCGATCTCACCCTGTCGAAGTCATCCATCAGAATGGAGCTGGTGAACCACTATGGCAATGTGGTGTTGACCCATGAGATCACCGGTGCGCCTTCCGGCCCAGGCGGCAAAACAGAGAAACTGGGAGAGATATGTATGAACTTGTAGAAGTCCGTAAGGGGTTGTTTGACTTTGGGGGTTGATTTATTTGAGGGGGGAGTCTTCTGATTCGTGCTCCCAAAGCCCACCATTGTCAAAGGAATGAGGAAGGATCCATCCTCTTTTTTTGGTTGGCCGGATTGAGTATTTGAGGGAAAAGATCCTTTGATTCCTCTGTGCCATGGTCACTTTGGACCTTTACTTGGTTAGCAGGGATGGTCCACCTGGTAGTAAGGATCCTTCATAACCAATGATTCCTGTGGGAGCCGCGACCCAATCGGCCATATGATATGGCCATGAAGAAAAACATAGGGAACCCCCTCAAAAGTGATTGGTGGACATGAATCCCCACCTAAATGATGTCCATGAAAGGGCCCCTCATTAAAAATTAATGCCCATATATGACAATGGCTCATATGGTCATCCGGATGAATCCGAAGTTCAGTTCGCCCCAGGGGCTGTGAACGCGGCACCTCCGGTCCATCAGCACCAGCCAAAAGGCACAAGCGCGGCGTGCAGCGGCTGCTGGGCAAAACCGGGGCCCAGATACATTTTGCTCATTTGAAACATGGCTTTTTCCACCAAAACAAAGGGAAACCACCATTTACAAGGCAATGTTCACGTGTATAATGTCAGGATGCCTGAAGTAGAAACCACTTTGAGCGGCTCTGACTATTTTACTTTGGTTGTTGCCCCAGTAAAAAACACCGCTATGCTCCCACTCAGTTTCATAGTCACCAATGTGACAGCTTGACCAAGCAGTGAAACCACCCTTTATCAAGTCAGGGGTAATTCTGAGGACGTCCGAAGATACACACTCCAAGAGCCGAATGTAAAAAAACGCTTTTGTTTGAGCATTTGGGTGTGTGCTCGTGGTACCCTTCGTTTGATTGCTGTCAAGGGATACTCAGAGCAAAGAATCCGACGGTGCCCCCCCCCCCTCGGGACCAACTCAGATCCAAGGACATCCAGGCTGCAGAGATCTCGGCTTGAATGGAGACTGCTGCCCCACGCCTTCAGGCGAGAACTTGTGGCTTCTGTCGGCTTCTGTCAGTTGGCTGTGGTTCAAAAAGCCGGAATACCAAAATGGGTTGCCCTGTGGAAACATGGACCAAGACCTGCGGTTTTCCGCTGGATCATTTTGAGCCACACCCACTTGTCCAGGATCCATGTTGGGATGCTGTCACAGCCTGAGAGGCTCGACGCTTTTGCGTCATGTGGCTCAAAGGTAGCCAAAGTGGCACCTTGGTTCATGGAAACCAAGACTACCTGCGGTTTGCCCTAGCTCTTGAATTTTGAGCCACATTCAAGGCACACGGTGTCGCATTTGTCCATCCGAGTGGCGACTCGAGGTCATTGAGCGGAAGCAAAGCCTTCCTGCAGCTCGTGCGTCCGCGTGGAGACAACATTCCTACGCTCTGCCCGAGAATCACCTTGAACGCCGCACGTGTGCTGAACGGAGTTTGTTTTTCTGGATTCATTTTTTTACCGGCGGCTTTTTTCCAACGGCAAACACAAGGGCTTCATCGTTTTGTGGGACACCTTGGAAGACTTGCTTGACATCGGCCGGTTGTGTCAGGATGTCTTGGACTTGCGGGCCTCTGGCTGGGAGGACAACAAGGTTGTCAGCTCCTCAGACCATTCGCAAGGCGCGTGTCATGCGAGTTCCCTTCTTGAGTCTGATTTTGTGTTCAACTCAGATGCCAAAATGAGGCTACGAAAAAGCTGGAAGCTCCAAGAAAGCTCGGGGAGTTTGGAGACAGCAAGAAAGAGGCGCTGACAGATGAACCACCATCAAAACCCGGATAGATGAAGGTTAGTAAGGGACAATCCCAACCATAAATAGCTGCGGCCGCCTTCTTAATTCCTGACAAGGCTCTGGGTAGACCATATTAGTACCGGGTTTTGATTATGACTTAGATGGATTACAACAAGGAGTCCTGCATTTGGTGGAGTGTGCAGGATTAAGCGTGCATGTGCAGTAGTGTCTGTGAGTGCAAGAGCTTTTGTCAAGCACCACGAAAATGCTTGCCAGGGCAGATGATCCGGTGCGCGAAAAATTACTATGCTGAGGTTGTGTGTTGCCGCATTTTCCCGTAGATGTGAAAGGTTTTGCATGAATCGACAGTGCATGAAATCTCGATTGTGCTGCCGATGTGTTTTGGCATTTGGTGCAGCTTGGACAAGAGTTGCCCTCTTAGTGTCACGGAGCAACGTTTTTGCGCAAGCTACGCGTTCCAGTGCACCAATGCTAGCGGAGTGTAGACAAGTCTGACAGCTATCAGGCTGGCTTGTACAGAGCACGAAGGGAGTGACTGGATAGTGATCCCGAAAAGGGGCATGAGAAATCTTCAGCCAAGCCAGGCCGACCATTTTGGCCGTGCCCCTGCCATGTTCATCTCTTGTCACGTTTTCCGAAAGCGCATCTCAGCCATCATTTGCACTTATACTTATACGAAATGTGTTTGTGCTGTGCTTCTTGAAGTGTAAGCCGCAGAATGGGTAGGCCCACAAAACTTTGACTCGCTTGCTATGGCAAGAAGAGCGCAAGGCATCAGCAAAAAGGAGGAGCGTGACATTCTCACAGGGCTAGACACCTGAGGCCTGAGACACGGCGCATCGACATGTTCGCTGAAGCAAAAGCTCCGATGCCATCTCCTGTCCTGCGCAGCGTGTTGTGCTCGTCGCAAGGAAGCAACGCAGCAACCCAACCTCAGGCAAGCTCGACTTGTTTGTTTGATACAGGCGTGTAACTCGTGATCAGCCAGCCCTTTTGGTTTTCTGGACATGATTTGGGCACTCCAATTTGATACTAGGCTTGAATTATCACTCAACATTGTCACGAGCATCACTGAGCTAATGGAAGGGCGATTTGCAGCATGAACGTCACGCACTGAGCAAGAAAAGCCAAGCATGTTTTCTTGGTGGCTCCCAGCCATCCCCTAAGCCTTTCAGACTTTTAGTGTTTAGTGGTTGGGTTTCCGAACTTGACCCACTAAAAGTGAGCCACTTTTAGCAGGGGATCAGAAAACCGGCAGCCCAGCTTTGGGTCTGCCCTTTTTGAGGGTTCCCTTTTTGGGGTTGGTTGAAACCCAAAAGGGAGCCCGGTGGGTTTTTCGGGGTTGCTTGAAAGGGACACCAAAATTAAGGAACCCTGCGCCATGAGGACTGGCCCCAGGACTGGTCCATCTCCGATGCATTGGCCGGGGGACCCAGCTTTGGGTCCTGGAGACCCGAAAAAGCTGCTGCTGCTGCTGCTGCTGCGGCTGCTGCTGCTGCTGCGGCTGCTGCTGCTGCTGCTACTACTATTACTACGACTACTGACTTTAATGATTTGGCTTTTTTTTAAGCCCCTGAGCCAAGCCCAAGCAGGCTGAACAAAATACCCGCTTGTCGCCGCCGAAAAATAACAAGGTCAGCCTCGAGAAGCAGGCGGAGGAATTGGCGCTGGCGCTGAATTCAAAAGATGCTGAGCGAGCCGAGCGGCGCCCAGAAGAGAGAGAGAGAGAGAGAGACAGACAGAGAGAGGGGGTGTTTTTGTTGGACCAGCGCCATGGTCAGCAGACATGTTTGCAGAGGGTTTTTTCTATTCATGTTCATCCGCCTGGAAGTAAAGATGGAATCTTGACGTGTCTTCGTGGCGGGGTCGATCTCACAGAGGAGCCCTTATCGGACGGGAGCCGGTGGTTGCAGTACGTTCGACCTGCCTCAAACGGCGGGAGAGCAGCGCGCCTTTTCACAGCCGCATGTGAAGGTGGTGGGCCTTTGTTTCGGGCTTGGTGTCCTTTTGCCGAGTTTGCTGTGAGCGGGGGCGGCAAGTTGTTCACATCCTGTGGCTGCCAGGCGTTTCGGCTGCAGGTGGATGAGTCATCAGTCAGTACTGTCGAGCGCATCATCAGTCAGTAGTACGCCTGCAGCGCATATGGCCAAACCGCAGTGATAGCTTGAATCTGGAGCTTCAATGTGCTATGAAGTGGTGCAGTTTGTTTGTTTCAGTTTGCAATGGTCTAACGGTCCTACCGTAGCCTTGACCAGAAGCTCAAGCGGTTCGTGCGATCGCGCGCACTGCGGCGTATGACACTGCGGGTTTGTGGGCAATTGAGCGCAGAACTGCTGGAGTGCAGTGACATGTAGAATGACTACATGTCAGCGCAGTGGAGTGCGCGCCGTGCCTGGTTTGGAGCAACGGGTGGCTGTAGGCGTTTAGCCATAACTCTTTCCGCGGAGTGGAGTTGCATGATTCCGGTCACTGGGCATATGGGTACGGGTCAAAATAAAACCATCAGGGGACCGCAGGTTTTACTCTTTGGTTCCATTTACCAGGGTTCCATTTTGGGTACGTATTTTTGACCCATATGACTCTAGCATGTCTGAAAAGGAGTTAACGCGTTTGGCCATGGCGCAGATGCAGGTCATGGACAGCCCCAACCATTTGACTGGTTTAGATATCTACCCAGGCTAGCGCGGAAGCTCTCAAAGCCTGTTTTGATTTACATGGTTGTTTGAGGCTAATTCTGGGCATGGCACCAGCATGAAACATAGAATTGGGAGGTTCTTCAACACTTAACTGGGTGCGTGTAAATGTAGGGCTTGGTTCCATTGCCCAAATGAATGGGTGTGGCTCAAAATTAAACAGGAGGGGTTACGCAGGTTTTGGTCCATGTTTCCACTTACCAGGGTTCCATTTGGTACCGGTTTTTTGAATTCGCCACAGCCAAATGGGCTCGGTTTTCCACTCCAACAACCCACTCCCAAAAAGGTGCCGTTCGCGGCGCTAGGCCGCGGCAGCGGCAAGCTTGGCCGCCCGAAAAGCGCCGGTGCGCTTGTCGCTGAAGGCAAGTGGGTCACTTTTAGGGTCCCGTCCGGTTGAAGCCAAAGGGAACAGGGGGCCAAGTCAGCTTCCCTCCATGTGGTTGCGGAGGTGCTCTACGGGGTGAGGGAGTTTTTCCCACTTCCCCTCAAACGGTGTACAAGGCCCCCAACCACCAGTCCAAGGCCCATGGATTGAGCTTTGGGAGTTCTCTTTCTGCCCTGTTTGGTTTGGAGGGGGACACCAAAATCCAATTTTGGGGGACACCCGAATCCGTTTTGGGGGGCTTCAACTCCTGACAAAGGACGCACCCAATGGGTGGGGACAGTACAGCCGATTTTCATTCTTTGGAGTTTGGGTCAGATTTCATCTCACCAGGTGCTTCATCCTGGTCAGCGTGCCAGCGCCCCAGGTGAAGTGAGCATTGGTCAGAATGCGGGTGTTGTTTCTTTTTTTGTTACTCGATTTTTATTTTATTTTGTTTAATTATATTTGTTTGGGGGGAGGAGAGGGTAAAAGGGAAGCCAAAAGGACTCCTGAATCCATGTTAGGTTGGTCACACGCCATACCCTGATTCGTCGATGAATTTGGCAATGACATGGGAGCTCCAAGTTTCAACCACAGAAGCCGGCAAACTGAAGTGCAGATGTTGGGCAAGCCTTTTGCAACGGCTGGGTCGTTGCAACAAGGTAGAATACTGGAGCCAGACATCTGGGAGGTGCAGTGGCGTTGTGAGTCACTCACGATATGGATGCCCATTTTTTCCCCCTGCGTCGCTTAAACCACAAACAAGCAAACAGGACACACTTATACATATGATTGGTAGGGTTTGGGGAGCACGAGAAGTGCTTGAGCTTGCTAGAGATGCCCATGGATTTGAAAGTTGGTATCGACCGTGGCAAGGAATTCCATACAGGGAACCATCACCACGCAGAGTTGTTGATGTGACCGAAACAACCTGAGATTTGCAGGTGGCTCCCTGCGGTGGTGCTAGGATTTGAGCAGTCCACAGGTGCGTCTTGGTTGGGGGACCCTGGTTGTTGACCCCAACCTATGTTTTGGGCCCCTATACACAAGGGATAGAGGTCGAACACCGGCTGTGGGTTGGAACAACAGGGTCCCCCGGTTGGATGTGAACGATGCGCGACCTCATGCGTTGCAAGTTGGAAGGCACCTACAAGTTAGACATCCATCCAGCCGCGGCGCCTGAGAAGGCGAGCAGGTTCATGACTTCAGTTGCCCGAAGCGAAAAAGCGAATCAACCATTCAACCTGTTGGTTTTCCAATTGGCCTATTAGTAAAGCTCCCAAAAGGTGAACCTGTAATTTCTGAGTCCTTTGGGCAATTGAGTGACAGGGCTGCGCTGTGGATTAGAGCAGGTGCGGATTCTGGAGTCAGAGACGGTAAGCCCGGCCCTTGTCATTTGAAAATCCGTGCTTTCCTTGCGTCAACGGAGCTGATCTTTGCGAAAAAGAAAGCTACTAGACGCAGCTTCTCAGAGGCTGCGCAGCAAATCCGGCTGGGCCCTCGGAATCCACACAGCTTCTCTTTCACTCCTTCCACCCCTGGAAGGCTCGCTTCAGCAAGGGAGAGGCAGTGGAATACTACAGGCAAGCCTTTGGCATCTTTGAAGCGGACATTTTTTCTTCTATTTTCAGCGGGTAAAAACCGAGCAATCCCATTGACCCAACCTGACATGGCACCTGACAAAAAAAACCCTGTCCCTCCAAGAGGACAAATTGAACTTCCAATCCTCCCGCAGTTGCGATCTGTTAGTGGGGGAGGGGCCACACCCATTGCCAGTAGCTCCTATGGGCGCTGGATTCCTGGCGAAGTTATTGGCTGGGATGTGCAGCGCGGAGCATACATTCTCAACATCCAGCCTGTGGCTGCACCGCAGAAGGCACGGCGGGGCTCGTGGGCTTGGGCTGCTCGTGTGTGCCGCTTGGTTTTGTGAGTTACCCATTTTTGGGCTGCTTGGAAAAAACCAAAGGCAAACACACACGCACACACCGTTTGGTGGGGTTGCCCTATTTTGACACAAGGAAGCCCAACCATGGATTTCACCAGGGTTTTCCCCCTGTTGGCCATTCTTTTTCGTAATCGTTTAGTACTCTTTTCGCTCAAATGCAGGGGTGAATCCACTAAAAAGCCAGATCCAAACTGTTATCTGGATTAGGGATATATATTTTTTAGCCAGAGACTGGACAAATCTCGACACATGTTTTCTCAAAAAAATCCGTCGCTTCGGTTTTCCTCACCCCCCCCCCCAGCTCCGTGAGCAGCTCACAGGTGCGCCCGGCTGGTGCGGAGAGCGGCCAGGCCAACCCAGGCGCGAAGTTGGGGCTCGCAGGATGGATTCAACCCCAACATGGGTGGCGTTTTCAATTTTGGTTCCCCTGTACCACCAGAAAAGGTGCACCCCCCCCAAGGTATATGTATGTATATATATATATATATATATGTTTTTTTTTTTTTTTTTTTTTTTTTTTTTTTCGTTCGGTTTCCCGATAAAGAACTAGCCAAACAGGTGTACCAACTCCAAACAACGACCCTTCCCCCGCAGAACCCCGGGGACAAGCGACTGTGAGGCGCCCAGGCGACCGCAGAGCCGCTAGCAGAGGCGCCGTTCGCATGTGTCAAACAGGGGGCATCGGACCCCCTCCCGCCCAAAGAGCGTCGTTCTAGAACCTACCGTGGGATATGTATATAGGTTGGTACCCAGTTTTGGGACCAAAGAATGAGGAACACAACACTCTAAATGTTGTTCTTTCTTGCTGGACCCTGCAACAACCATTCAGAAATGGTGGTTTCCAACATTTCCCGTAACATACCTTATTGATGGAGAATGGCAGTTTGGGAAGTAAAAGGTTGTTGCGTGTTCCAGGTTTGGTTTCACTTAAAACCCCCCAAACCCCCCAACAAGCGACCCACAAAGAGGCACGGCCGAACTGGGGCTTCAAATGCTTCCCTTGAGTTTCCTTGAAAGACCGCTCCGCAAAAACGGGTACTCGCCTTAAGAAGAGGAAGACGGAGACACTGAAACGTTGAGATGCGAACACTTCGGGCTCAAGTCCATAAATTTGTTTAAGTGCAGCTAGCGCTCGCGCAGCTTCGTACACTATTGGTGTGGTCCTCAGGCACTCATGTTCCGCACAAGAGTTCCATGTCACCGATTTATTTCATCCCATCAGATTGCCGAGGCTCATGCCGGAACGTACTCCTTTTCTGGAGACGTTTGGCTCCTAGATCCAGCATTGCTGCCAGAGTGAGTCTTACCTCTTAAAAACACAACTTTTCAACTTTTTGGGTAACATGGGCTATATGTCTGTAAAAGATTAACTTCCCCAGGGCTTGGAGTTTTAAGGGGTAAGGCGGCTTCCAGATTTGCTTATATTTGCTTGCACCGGTCTCACGGCGCTCGGATTGGCAAAGCGATGTCTGCAAAACACAAACCGCCGCTGTTCGGCTCGCCCAGCGGTTTCGGCCCGTCACGTCCACTCGGATTCGTCAACTCGCCAGCGGGAGTCGCCATGTCCATGTTCAAGCGCTTCGTGGAGCCTGGCCGCCTGGCCCTGATCACCTACGGCCCCTGCACGGCCGGGGGTGCGGTCGCAGCCAAAAAACGAGAGAGGACATGGTGAGACCCTACAAGCGACATGCGTTTGTAAGGAAAGACTGTGGATGGACGAACTCCGTTCGCACCACTTCAAGCCAGGGTTTGTTGGTATCTAGGGAATCATCATTCTCAGGGTATCTTTGGTGCAGGATTGCGTCCATCCACAGGATACAAAGACCCTTGAGGCTTGAGAGGGTGTCGCATCTAGGGGATTCTTCACATTTCTTAAGCAGGTTGAGGAATTCGGGGTTGACATATGGCCATGGTTCAAAACCAATGGTACCCTTTTGGGATCCATTTTAGTTTATTTTAGTGGGGATTGGGATGTTCACTGACGGGCTCTTGACCCATGGCCATATTTCGACTCAAGCGCGGCTCGCTAGGGAAAGCTCTGCACCATCACTGACATCGTGGACCAGAAGCGAGTGGTCCTCACCTCAGGTGCACAAACTTTCAGGGCTCAGAAACCCCGGGTTCAAGTCTGGGCGTGTCTTTTTTGAGTTGGTGCAAAATATATTTAAAAAAGATCGGGGGTTCAAAGGCAAAACCGCCATGTTTGGAGGGGGTTAAAGGTAAAACAGCCCCATTTGTTTTGGGGGGGTGGGGGGGGGGTCCAACCCAGTTCGCATCACCCTTCAGAAACCATGGAATTCGATTTCCCAACGTAAATACTACCGTAACAAGCGTTATGGTTTCGTTCCCATGAAGCCATGGGATTTTGCAGCCATGCACAATGGGTCAGGTGACCCTGAATTAGTGGCTTGGATTTCGGGTTTGAACGGTGCCTGATGCTTGCAGAGGGTGGGGTTTCGCCCTCCGGAACACCACCAAAAGGGGCTTCTTCGGGGTGTGAAACAAGAGCTGGATGCTTTCCCCCCACCAAGCCACCGGGCTCAAAACCAATTAAAGGGAAGCTGAACAAAATGTGCCACGCCCGAACGCGTCTGTTTTTTGGGGGACCCCCAAGATGGGGGTGTTCCATTTGGCAACCATCCACATGACAAATCTGTGCCTCCTTCCCTCCCAATGCCACCCTCTTTCTTCCCTCCCCACCCTTCCATTCCCTTTGAGCAAGCCTTTAGCTGAGGTGGTGGATGGCCCTGAGGTTGGTGGGGGGTGGGGGGGGGCTTCTTTTCGGGTTTGAGCAAAGAGCTGGTTGAAGGAACTTTTGCAGGGCTTGTTGTAGTTCTAAAGCCCACATCCCCTGTTGGTGGCCAATGTGCAAGGAGCTTCCTTTAGGTTGGGTGACGTTTGAAGGAAGGAGACCTAGGGAGCCCTTTGGGTCGCCCAAATGGTCCCCAAATTCGGTTCCCCTTGACCCCTGACAAACGGCGACTTGGGAGCCCTAGGGTCGGCGTGGACTTTAGAACTGAGCCGGCAAGTCTGGGGGCTTAGTCTTTGAATAGGGGGCCACCCAAACGAAAAGGGTGGTGTTTTTGTTTGGGTTCTCTTCAATCTAAGATGGTTTCCACTATCCCCCAACCCACTACCCCACACAGAGGAAAACCGAGTTATAAGATATATATATATATACATTTATTTATGTAGTGTATGTTTATGTTGTTGTTACATCTATATTTTATAAACCTCCTGGGATGAGTGGTTTAGGGCTGGAAGCCATCTTGGATAAAACAACCAACATATGCAGAAGGGTGCAAATCACTACTTGGTTTTGAGAAAATAACTATTGGCTTGGCCTGACGCTCTCCAAGAAGGGTTCCCTCCAACGAATATCCTCTAACTTATAGAGCGTATCTACCCCATTTTCCTTTGAGTGTCGTGTTTTAGGGCTGGAAACCATCTTGGATTTAGCCCAAAAGGCAGAGGGGAGCTGAACGTCACGAGTGAGCTTTGCTGAACGTCTACCTTTGTGTCGATAGAACCACCTGGCTGTCTTTTTGAACCTTTGCTCCTCTGAGCGCCAAAAGCTCCGGCAGTTGAGGGCAGCTGTTGGAAACCACGGGGCTTTTGAGGTTGGACCCTCCAAAATGAGGGTGTTCCTTTTGGTTTCCTCAGATTTAATCAAAATTCACAAAAAGGGTGGGTTCCAGTTCCACCCCCCAAAACAAATAACACATTGGGTTTCCTTATATAAAACCCGCAAAAAGTCGGGTCCCCCCCCCAAAAAAAAAAGACGAGCCCCTTAAGACCGAGCGACAGGGAAGCTGAACCCACCCCGGTCAGGAGCTCACAGGGGTGCGGCGACACATGATGCCCATCAAGCGATTGAGCCTCACTGACTTCAAGCGGGGGCCCCTGGCGGGCCCTGGCGGCCTCTCCAAATGGGGCGCAGGGTTTGCCCTTTTCCACTGGTGGGATACATAAGCAGCCCCCCTGGTAGTGTAGAACCCTTTTCCAGGGAGGCAAAGGCAATCCCTGAATGGGGCGGGCGCCCCAAAAAGGCCGTGGCTCACAAAACCCGGAAGTCCAAAATGGGTTGCCCTGTGGAAACATGGACCAATACCTGCGGTTTGCCCCCCCCCCCCCCCCGATCGTTTAATTTTGAGCCACACCCAAAAGACCCAAAAGACCCAAAAGACCCAAAAGACCCTAAACCCTAAGCCCATTCAGCTTCCCAAGCTGGTGGCTCGGAGTTCGGTTTGGATTGAAGGGGTAAACCCCATTTCTCCTCGACAAGAACCGGTTCAAGTCTCCCCGAATCACTAAGGGCGATCTCGAACCGTGGTGGTTTTCCCTTCTTTTTCTTCTTTTTCCGGTGTTCCTTCAAAACCACCAAAAGATGGGGTGCCCTGCAAACATGGTGGTCTTCCTTGTTTCGGTTTTCCTTCGAAACCACCCAAAAAAATGGTGGTCCCAACTCCGAAAACCCAAATGTTTTTCAAGGGCACTTAAGATGGGTGTCCCCAAGAATTTCAGGCACCGAAATTCCGAGAAAGCTCCAGGGCACGCGCGCGTGCGAAAACTTCTGAGGGCATTTTTTGGGATGGTTTAGAACGAACACCAAGAGGAACACCCACCTATTTTGGGTTGGTTCCCCCATGTTGAGACCAACCCATTTGCTGGGCATTTGAACTTGTAGAGTTTGCTGCTAGTTTCTAAAGAAAGTGCTTCCCCCGAAACCATGAAGGGGAACGACAATTGAGAAAATGATGTTTGGTTCCCGGTGGTTGCCATTTGAACCACCATGTAGGGTACTTTTCGAGGACCTCGCTTGAATGGACCCAGAAATCGCCAGCGAGGAAAGACATTATGGCAGAGAAAACGGAGCATAAATGCACATTTCAGAGCTGCTGGCCCACATGCACATTGCGTCCAAGAGTAGCACGGCTGGTTTCTCGTTTCGCGAGAAGCAGCAATGATCATTTTTAGGATGGGAGAGTCACCTTTGTCGCATCAGCCTACAAGAGAAGCCCACAGTGCGAAAGTGCGGGCGTGGGTTGGCAGATGACCGATCCAGAAAGTTCATACTGGACTAGAGTCAAAATGAGTCGCCAAAAACGGGCAAAGGCAATTCGGTACTCATGGGATCCAACTCTTTGCTCCATTGAAGCTTCGGGAACGAAGCTTCACCCTCAAAAAAGGCAATTTGTGGGTGGCTCTTGTTTTTTTTCTTGAGTGGTTACCCCCTTTTTTGTGGGCACTTGGCAACCAAGAGGAAGCCCACCATACCGGGTAAGGACCACCCTGAGAGACCGGCATGTTGCTGGTGTCGGCGAGATAAATCTCGCGATATCGAGCGATGCACTGCAGGCTCCCCTTCGCTCGCCGAGGCATCCGAGAGAAGGCACGAGAACTAAAGCAAGCGGTGTTTTTGTTGTCGGCAGATGAACATGAACCCAAGACGGTCGCCACAGACCGTGGATCTCGTATGGTTGTAAGTCATCAATTTCCGCACGCGCTGCGCCCTGCGCAGTTCTTGAAGAAGAAGTTGGCGGAGAGTGATCTCATCAAGAAGTTTTGGGAGTCCTCCTGGGGCAAGAAGATCACCGCGCAGGAAAGGGTCAACGCTCAAGTCCGGTTGTGTGTTTTGCTTCTACATGGTC